CTCGGCTCCGAGCCGCGGCGAGTCCTCCCCAGCACCCTTCCCAAGGGCTGGGCGCCGGGGCAGAGCCAGGCCAGCCCTGCCCTGCCGACGCAGTCCGCCCGCGTTCCCCCTGAGTCGCTCTTCACCCCCGGAGGAAGCAAGCAGACGCCAGCGCTGCCCAGGGAGCGTGCCCGTGCCCGTGCCCGTGCCCTGCGGGTCAGCCCTGCCTGCCCCGAAACCCAGGTCCGCGTAGGGCTTCTCCACCCGCAGCCCTGCAGTCCCCTGCACGGCCCTGGCAGCGAGTCTGTGCCTGGGGCCGAGCAGTTCAGCTGCATCTTGCTCCCGGGGACAAATAGCCCCTTCTCCGTCATCTAGACAGGTCCAAGGAAAACGAGAAGTGCAAGCTCAGGAGGGGAGAAGGAGCTTTATTGAATGATACGGGCCTGCACAGCGTGCTGCACCCAGTGACCGACGCAGCAAAGATGCCACTGAGGTGCCTTGCAGTGACGACTGTAACAGCGGCAGGTCAGGAGGAGAAGCAGGGTCTGAGGGATCGCACACAGACCCGGCCACCCACTCGCTGCAGGCCGGGGGCCCTTTGCCTGGCTCTCCCATGCGCCTGGTCCCCTCCCCGAGGAGCCAGCCAGCTGCTCACCTGCGGGATAACCCAGGCTCTCTTGTCTTGCCTCGGCACTAACATTTCCCCACGCTGCTCCCTGCATCGTCCAGTGCCGTGCACTCTGCGGGGACGGGACAGAAGCACGCGCTGCCCGTGCCGTCTCCCCCCCGGCAGACTGTGTTGGGAAACCCGCCCAGGCACCGCCCGCGGGGCATAGGCACGGAGGGGAGGCATTCACCTTTACACTGCCTACGGTGAGGCATTCCCAGCTCCTGCTTCATGAGCGCTCACCCAATTTAACCCCAGCCCCTTCTCCTCGCCGGGGTTCATCTGACCCAGGCTGTTAGCCCTATAGAGACAGACCTCGACACAAAACGTGCTGCTTGTGCCAAAGTCTCCTCAGCAAGAGAGGAGAACAAATGCAGCGTGACGGCGGAGCGCAGCAGAGGCACCTTGCAGCACAGGCCCGCTGCGTTGGAGCTCCTGCCACAGGAAACGCAGCTTCTTGCCCCCATGGGCTCTTTGGCTTTCTGTGTCTGCAGGTCCCCAAAGCCCGTGTGCTTCGCACGGCTTCCGCAGCTCTCCCTAGGCTCGGGCCCCCGCTCCCGTTTGCTTCCTCCCTCTTGCACAAGCGCCATCCCACTCTCCCACCCATCGGAGATGTGTCCCCTTCCTAAGCACTGCGGCTGCGTCTCCTCGTCCCGTTCAGTGCGTGGGGAGGCACTGCTGGCAGCCCGAGCCTTGGAAACGCCTCGGCTGCCAAGGGCAAGGCCCAGGCGGCGCCTCTCGGAAGTTGTCCGTGTGCTTCTGCTGGCAGGCGGCTCTGACGCCGAGGGGGCAGGGATAAGCAGGGCCGGATGCGAAACACTCGTCCCTCGGGCTCTCGTAGTGCAGCTGGACCTGCGTCTCAGGGGTGTGCCCGGCATACGGCGGGCAGCGCTGGAAGTTTGCAGCAGCCACGTAGCCAGGCTCCAGGGGCAGCTGGATGAGCTGGGCACGGCTGCCCTGGGCACTCTCCTCCTGCCCCGGCCCATCGTACCAGGGGCGGCACTCGGCATGGGCGCAGGGCCAGTGTGGGGCCGGGCCGGAGCGCAGGGACATGGACAGGACAGCAATCCTGTGGATGGCTCTGCGCAGCGTGGCGATCTTGGAGAGCCTTTTGCCGCTAAGGTCGTGCTTGAGGGCCAGCCGCAGGGCGTTGAAGGCTTGGTTGTAGTCCAGGATGCGCTTGCGTTCCCGGACGTTGGCTGCCATCCTCCTCGCCTTGGAGCGCGCCGGCCTGCTCCTCCTCCTCCCCTTGGGCTCCTCGCCATCGCTGGGGCAAGATGAGGCCTCGCTGCCCTTGGGGACCCACAGCTCCTGCCTCAGCCCCGGGAAACGGGCCCCTCCCAGCTCTCCCTCTGAGCCGTCTGCGCTGGGCATGGCCTTGCCGAACGTCCCGGGAGCGCGAGGGCACCCGAGATGCAGCCGTCCTGCCTCCTGTGAGCTCAGGCAGACACTCCTGCAGCGCAGCCCCAGTCCTCTGCTAAAAACTCGCCTGCCGAGCTCACCTGCATCACGTGCTTCCCCTCCCGGGCCCTTTATGACCTGCCTTCAGGTATGTGGAGCCGCAGAGGGGCGCGGGCAGCATGCAAAAGCTTGTAGGGCACGGCCCCGCCGCACTTGTCCTGAGCTGCACCAGGGTGGAGAGCACGCCCACGTGCTGCCCCTGGGACCCTCCTGTCCTCCGCTTCCTACCTCCCCTGAGCAGGGGCCTGGGAGCAGCAGGGCAGGGTAAGGCCTCCCCCTGACACGTGCAGGTGCTACGCTGTGGGGCACGACTCGCCCATGTCACCCGGCCCAGCCTGGGCCTTCCCTCCTGTGGTCTCTCTGGAGCTGCTTGCCCTGCACTTTCTCTGCCCCATCACTCCCCTGCTGCAGCCAGGGTTCATCTCTGCTGGGGCATAAACCATATGGGCCACGGACAGATTTCCTGGGAAAGGGAGCATTTGCAAGAGAGAGGAGAGAAGAGAGCAAAGGCATGGTGAGGGGAAGTGACTGGGCCACGAGTGTGTCAGCACCTGGGCCTGACACCGAGCCCTGGGTCCTGGGGGTGCCTGAGCGTGCGTCTACCCCTGACGGGAGGTGGGAGCACATCTCTAGGGGGGTTTGGATTGGGATGGTGGGCAGCATCAGAGAGCCATGACCCATGGGCCTGCATGATAGTGAAGAGAGAGATGGGTGAACACCGCCAGGCACCAGTGGAGGGGCCTGGCCTTGGGGGGAGAGATTGGTGGTGCAGGCAGCATCTGCCTCCTGCTTTGCAAAGGGGCTGACTGTGCAGACGCTTCGGCCTCCTGTGAGCTAAAATCAAGTGTCGTACTGGCCTTTTATGAGATTACGATTGAGTGTAGGGAGTATCTGAAGTCCCGGACTAAAGAGTCTGGGATGGAGGATGCTTGCCTGTAGCATCTGGGAGCATCCGAACCCCAAGACCTCCAGGCTTGGGCCTGCATGTAGGATGCCTGCCAATGGATTTGGGAGTATCTGAAGTCCCAGGGTGAGATGTCTGGGATGGAGGGTGCTCACTGGTTGTAGCCCCATGCATGGTGTTTAGAAAGATTGAGTTCTGCCTGCTCAATCGATATGATTAGGAACTGATTTGGCTAATTTGACCTG